GGAATGGGGAATGGGGAATGGGGAATGGGGCATGGGGCATGGGGCATGGGGCATGGGGCATGGGGCATGGGGCATGGGGCATGGGGCATGGGGTATGGGGCATGGGGCATGGGGCTTGGGGAATAGGAAATTGAAAATGGGAAATTGAATTTTTTTTACATTAAATTTTTATAATGTGGAAAAAAAATTCAGCGACGATTATCGATATCCACGTTTTATTTTTTTGAAACGTGCTGCGCCAAAATAAAAGGATATGAGAACGGCAGAAGTCACCCTGACTTGTTTCTTTATTTCACTACCCGAAGCTAAGCAAGTATTGAAAAGAATATCAACGAATTTGTAACAAAAATAATGTTGGTGAACACCAAAAAACGGGGCATTGGTCACACTCTGAGGACGCGATTAAAATATTGTGAGTATCAGCAAAGGCCAAGGAGGACAAGAGCCCCATTCCCCATTTTAGTAACATCCGGAAAATGTTGATTTTTCCTTTTTCTATATGGAGATAATTTTACTGAACCGTCTTTAACCCCAAAACATTGCGCTTGAATGAAATTTTAAAACCACTTTAGATTGTTATCATAAATTGTTAGTAGAGTAAAATATTGCCCTCTTCCAAAACCTCATAATCTTAACGCGTTCTCGTAGATATCTTCAGGGATAAGGCAAAACAAATTTACATTTGGATTGTTTCGTGCGGCTGAGGATAAAGGCAAAATGTGTAGTTTTATTTCGACCAATTTAAAATCAGTTTAGACCGGATAAACACGGCCCAATTAAAGATGAATTAAAACGCATTAAAAATAACCTTTTCAAAGAGCAAAATCACAGTCTTCGCCGCATAAAATGGGCGTCACAAACGTCAGTGATTCCTGGTTGGAAACAAACTCCACTTTAGCACAAACATTGAGCTGAACAACTGTTGTACTGATTGACTGCATATCGGTCTGCAAGCAGATTGATTTTATATCGAAAAACACTCGAGACATTTGGCCGTGGAAAGAAAAAGGACGATCACACTCACTCCAGTACAACACTCGTAACAGATTGGACAGTCCTTTCATGGAGAATGTCTAACTGGACCGCAAAAGTGAATGTTTCTGCCATGATAGAGGGAAGCTATCCTTGGACATCAATACCAAGAAGTCTCGCCATCGCGGTCTCCGTGATGTTGTCGATGTTGATTTTGGCGGGAGCTTTTGGAAACGCTTTCGTCTGTAATCGGCTTCGAAGACGCCGTGACCTTCGCAAAGTGCCACACTACTTGCTCGCCAACCTTTCTTTGACTGGACTTCTAACATCGCTCCTCGGCATGCCGTCCCTGTTATTAGCAACCATTGTCAATTACCGTCAGGCTAGCCATTCACCAGTCGCTGAGATACTCTGTAAAGTTGGTTTTCCTCTTTCTATCGGCTGCATAGCGCTAAATGCGTTGAGTCTAACTCTTATGACAATAGATCGCCACGATTGCGTTGTTCGTCCATTCCGGCGCCGCCTATCAAGGGAGAATGTTAAGAAAATTCTGCTTGTTACTTGGCTCTTGGCCTTCCTTATTTCTGGTGTACTCCTCGTATTGTTAAGAAAAGAAAGGTCTGTTTGCTATACATGGTTTCCTTATAACCAGCTTAAGTCTCTTCGAACGAAACAAGGTCATGTTATCCTAAATTACATAACAGCAATTGCACAGCTAGACACGCTGGCGATAGTGCTGATCATAGTAAGTCTCTTTCGTGTCGTTAAGACGCTTCGCGCGCCGACTATTCTACAATCGACCAACTCATCCTTTTATCAGCGCCAGGAGAAACAACTTACATGGCTGACGTATAAACTCTGTGGAACTTACATTTTATTCAGGTTTCCATTCCTCATTTGCAGCATTGTTGGACGCAACGAGGAATTTCAAGGGATGACGCTCAACACCGCTTCTCTTCTGACAGGCGTGACGATGTATTCTCCTTTCGTGTTAAATCCAATTCTTCATTTCAAAATGCTCAGAGTAAGGCAGCCAAACCGTGTTGTTCATGCCGTACCACAAGCCCCCCAGATATAACTGAGAGTAGAAAACACCCGATCGGACGAATAAAGAGAATAAGACCAAATCGTGAGGTCGAACGTCGCCGATATTGTCAAATTATTATAAGGTAGATAAAGCAAACCACGAGGACGACGGCAACGAGAATGTCACCAGAGAAAAGGACGTTTAATGAGCAAAACAACGGCTGTGCACGTGCGTTATAAATCTTTGGACATTTCTTTGCCGTCTCCTGCAAAATTAGAGCAACGCGAGCGAAGACGGCTAATTATCCGTTTTCTGTTTTTTGTTTTTTTCGAACGTTGTCATTGCATATTTTTAGCCTGAGCACGTTTTTAGAGTTATTGGCGAACTGAACAGACCTAGAAAATACGCGAACTTCGCTGATAAAATATAAACTCATTTTTTAATAGGCGTCGTCCTCGTTGCCTAGGCTCCCTTATGTTGGAAATCAACGGAGGGCAATAGTGCAACGATTTGTGTTATGAGAGTACATTTGATTTATCTTTTGTACCTCAGATCGCTCAGGTTTCTTTTAAATTAAATTTCTACAAAATAATACATGTATTCGGTTGTCAATGAGTGAAAGTATTTAACAATTATAGTGGACTAGGTTGAGCAAAATACCGTGATCGTGACTGGAGAACAGATCAATTATACACCGAAGCCGAAGGCTGAGGCAAATTGATCTGCGAGTCACTGACAAATAACGATATTTTGCGATAACCGCGCTCAGTAACTGTTTTATCATTCGATCACCAAATTTGTTTTCTTATTTAAATCACTCTCTGACAGCTCAGGGGAGCAGTCTGCCATTTTTTGCACGAGCAGAATACTATTTGCAGCAAAACACATTTTAACGGTACTACGCAGACCATCATTTGTAGGCAGTTATTTGCAGGTCGTGTAATTGGCTCTATGCGATGAAAAGGAAGAAAAAATGCATCGAATGATAAGTTTAGTTAGTTTTTTTTTTTCAAACAATGATGTAATGTAAATAGATACTACCGTTAAAAAAGAAATAGTGTTTCAAAATTTTTTAACAAGCTCTTGTGAGGCCTCTTTGTAATCTCTCCACTTCCCTGTATTTCCCTAATTTATCTTAAGAATATTTGATCCCTCGCCTAGTTTTTACCTTCACTCCCCCTCTCTCTATCTCTCCTTCGTCTTAGCCACCATCTTACCTCTCAATCTCCTTTCCAGTAACCGTGAACAATTAAAACAAAAACAAAAATGTTATGGCAAAGCAATGGCTTCTTTGCTTGAAACAATTTCAAGAGTATAAATTTTGTGTTTGGTTTAGTCTCACTTAACTGCCGACTGAGACTGCTCGAATNCGATTTGTGTTATGAGAGTACATTTGATTTATCTTTTGTACCTCAGATCGCTCAGGTTTCTTTTAAATTAAATTTCTACAAAATAATACATGTATTCGGTTGTCAATGAGTGAAAGTATTAACAATTATAGTGGACTAGGTTGAGCAAAATACCGTGATCGTGACTGGAGAGCAGATCAATTATACACCGAAGCCGAAAGCTGAGGCAAATTGATCTGCGAGTCACTGACAAATAACGATATTTTGCGATAACCGCACTCAGTAACTGTTTTATCATTCGATCACCAAATTTGTTTTCTTATTTAAATCACTCTCTGACAGCTCAGAGGAGCAATCTGCCAATTTTTGCACGAGCAGAATATTATTTGCAGCAAAACACATTTAAACGGTACTACGCAGACCATCATTTGTAGGCAGTTATTTGCAGGTCATGTAATTTGCTCTGTGCAATGAAAAGGAAGTAAAAATGCATCGAATGATAAGTTTAGTTAGTTTTTTTTTTCAAACAAAGATGTAATGTAAATAGATACTACCGTTAAAAAAGAAATAGTGTTTCAAAATTTTTTAACAAGCTCTTGTGAGGCCTCTTTGTAATCTCTCCACTTCCCTGTATTTCCCTAATTTATCTTAAGAATATTTGATCCCTCGCCTAGTTTTTACCTTCACTCCCCCTCTCTCTATCTCTCCTTCGTCTTAGCCACCATCTTACCTCTCAATCTCCTTTCCAGTAACCGTGAACAATTAAAACAAAAACAAAAATGTTATGGCAAAGCAATGGCTTCTTTGCTTGAAACAATTTCAAGAGTATAAATTTTGTGTTTGGTTTAGTCTCACTTAACTGCCGACTGAGACTGCTCGAATTTTTTTTTTCGAGTCATTTTCTTTAAAAGAAACGTGTTTTTCTTCCTTCTGCCTGCTTCACTGAGGTACCTGTTGGAGTTCACAGCCTCGATAAGTCTTCTTTTCTACCTTATCCTTCGCCTAGTCGCCTAAAATATTATCTAAATTCTCAAAACTTCCCGCTATTAAAAGAAACAGGGGCAAAACGTTTGTTATATTGACGTCATCTGTGCGTCTGTCCTCTAATAGATCATAGGTGAGAACCAATCAAAATGCGAGAACAATTTGACTTATTATATAAATATGTCTTGTTCGAGATGTTAGGCATCCAAAAAAATCCATTTTGACATCATATCGCATTAAAATAAAGTCATAAATTTCAGAAACAGCATTCCAAAATAAATCAACCCTCGCCAGTGAAGATGGATTTACGTCCTTGTCTGTTTGTTTGTGTTTGTTTGTTGTTTTGTTTGTTTGTTTGTTTGTTTGTTTGTTTCCAGTGCGGCTTCTTTCGTTCCATGAATACCATCTCTTGCAGCAGCCTATTTGTTTCCAAAACCGAGAACATAATATTAGGACACTGAAGTGACACGACCTTGTGTGCTAGCTAAGCTCAGTATGTACTGAAATGATGCCAAGGCCCCTTCCACACTATGCCAGAGGAATTTGAAAACGGAGCGGTTTCACTCAGAAAACACATCAAAAGTTTTCCGTCCACACTACGTTGGAGGAAGTTATAAACGCAACAATCGCAGTTTTTGAAGAAAACTTCGCCAGGGGAAATCACGTGATTATCGTGACGCCATCGTTCTCGAAAAGCTCCGTTTTCAAAATGTTCTCCGTCCACGCGAAAACGAAAATTCTTTTTCAAATTCCTCCGCTTTTAAATATTGAATAGCTCCGTTTTCGTGACGGTTAATGTGGACGGTAGGCCTAACCAGAGAAATAAATCTCCGTTTTCAAATTCTCCCAGCGTAATGTCGACGGGGCCGAAGTAAATGTGAAAAATAAATTGAGTTTGAACACTTCTGTGAAAGCATCCATTGGTATGAACAAAACAGTTGACGAAACTTGTTCAGTCAGGATTAAATATTTCGATTCAAATCTAGGCTTTTGTCGATTGTGCTAGCATAATTTTTAGCTTTTATATCTAAATTTAGCACTGCTAGCATAATCTGGCTTTTCTGACTTCTGACCTTCGCGAAATGACGTCATTTCGTTTTGAATAAACTTCTTTTTACTTCTTCGTTTCTATAACTTTTGTTATCGTAGATCTGAGCACTTCCTAAGTTTAAGTTCAGATGGTTCAGCAGCTTACAATTTAATTCGTTCTATTTAGGCACAAAGAAATAAATTTACACGGATTAGATAGCCCTGAGCCTGCTCTACAATGTTATAACAATTTCTGTTAAGTATGACGTCATACATATGACGTCAAATGACGTCATTTGACCTGCCATCTTGGATACGCCATCTTGGATTTCAATATTTTATTAAAAAGTCCAGAAATAACGGAAATCAATACAAAGTCAGGCCAGGATGCTTAGAAATGTAGAAAACGGCGGTTCCAAACAGCGTAATACCTTGCTTTGTCTATTCTGTCTTTATTTTGCGTAAAAACCAAGTAGCATAATTTTGATACGAGNGGAATGGGGAATGGGGAATGGGGAATGGGGCATGGGGCATGGGGCATGGGGCATGGGGCATGGGGCATGGGGCATGGGGCATGGGGCATGGGGTATGGGGCATGGGGCATGGGGCTTGGGGAATAGGAAATTGAAAATGGGAAATTGAATTTTTTTTACATTAAATTTTTATAATGTGGAAAAAAAATTCAGCGACGATTATCGATATCCACGTTTTATTTTTTTGAAACGTGCTGCGCCAAAATAAAAGGATATGAGAACGGCAGAAGTCACCCTGACTTGTTTCTTTATTTCACTACCCGAAGCTAAGCAAGTATTGAAAAGAATATCAACGAATTTGTAACAAAAATAATGTTGGTGAACACCAAAAAACGGGGCATTGGTCACACTCTGAGGACGCGATTAAAATATTGTGAGTATCAGCAAAGGCCAAGGAGGACAAGAGCCCCATTCCCCATTTTAGTAACATCCGGAAAATGTTGATTTTTCCTTTTTCTATATGGAGATAATTTTACTGAACCGTCTTTAACCCCAAAACATTGCGCTTGAATGAAATTTTAAAACCACTTTAGATTGTTATCATAAATTGTTAGTAGAGTAAAATATTGCCCTCTTCCAAAACCTCATAATCTTAACGCGTTCTCGTAGATATCTTCAGGGATAAGGCAAAACAAATTTACATTTGGATTGTTTCGTGCGGCTGAGGATAAAGGCAAAATGTGTAGTTTTATTTCGACCAATTTAAAATCAGTTTAGACCGGATAAACACGGCCCAATTAAAGATGAATTAAAACGCATTAAAAATAACCTTTTCAAAGAGCAAAATCACAGTCTTCGCCGCATAAAATGGGCGTCACAAACGTCAGTGATTCCTGGTTGGAAACAAACTCCACTTTAGCACAAACATTGAGCTGAACAACTGTTGTACTGATTGACTGCATATCGGTCTGCAAGCAGATTGATTTTATATCGAAAAACACTCGAGACATTTGGCCGTGGAAAGAAAAAGGACGATCACACTCACTCCAGTACAACACTCGTAACAGATTGGACAGTCCTTTCATGGAGAATGTCTAACTGGACCGCAAAAGTGAATGTTTCTGCCATGATAGAGGGAAGCTATCCTTGGACATCAATACCAAGAAGTCTCGCCATCGCGGTCTCCGTGATGTTGTCGATGTTGATTTTGGCGGGAGCTTTTGGAAACGCTTTCGTCTGTAATCGGCTTCGAAGACGCCGTGACCTTCGCAAAGTGCCACACTACTTGCTCGCCAACCTTTCTTTGACTGGACTTCTAACATCGCTCCTCGGCATGCCGTCC